AACTTTGGCTGGTAAGTCTGTTTGGTAACGGCCTATATTTTAATGCTATTAAACATTGGTTACCTTGATCATCATCTCCTTGGCCATATTTGATATATTGTCTAAAGCATCTTGCGGTAAACCCAAAGTACCCTCCTTGTCTTCTAATTTTGCTACACGAAGTGACATCAAAGCACTAATTTTTCGGCCAATAAACCGAACACCAATATCAATTACTAACGTTACCATTAAAGTGCCAGCTCTATCTTCTGTACCGTCTATGAGAATGTCGATCAGCACAACAATGTCTATCGTTATCATCCCTACAACAAACATTTTCTTCCCAACGATGCATATATAATAATAATGATAACAATAATAATAATAGTAACAATAATGATAATAATAATAATAATAATAATGAATATAAAAAATCAAAAATAACAAAAATAATAAACTGTTAAGTATCTAAGAAGAAACCATGTATTAATTCAATGGCTTTCAAACTATGACACATATATAGACGTTCGGCAACAGCAAAAGTATTGACTTAGATCAAGATCACAGTTAATAAATGAATAATAATAATGTCACTGTTATTCTGATATTATTTTTAAGCTTCTTCTAAACAGTTACCTCCTCCTTGTCCACTGAGTATTATTGACGGTGCTCGAGCCGTATGAATAAACAATGAAACAGTTTTATTAGGCCACTTTTCTCTTACTTCGGGCATGATATCACCAAGACAGATGCCCAAGTCGTTAAGTCCAAGTTCATCACCCTTTTCAGATTGACGTCGGTGTCGTTTCAACAAACGTTTCAAGCGTTTGAGGCGCTTCCTCTGTTTTTCTTCTTCTGTGTCAGTCTGAAGTAGCGAGTTTACTGTTTTTCTTCCAAACAAAGAAAAAAAATCAGTGAGATTTTGAGCAATCTTTCTTATAATCCTATAACAATTGCTGATTAATCAATTAGATGCACTGTGCAAATTGTTTTTTGATGCTGGTAAAATAGCAATACTAGATACTAACAATACTTTTAAAAAATGCTAGTTGGCAGATCTGTAGTATAGAGACAACATAAAACAAACCTCGACTGACGATAAGTCTTCATCGCTCTCATCACCGCCACAAGTAGTTTTCATCAAGGGGCCAATTTTTGGAGTATCCGAATTTATAAAAAATGTCAAAAATCCTCTCCTGTAAATGAATTCGTAAATATAAATTTAAACAAATAAGTAGTTTTCTAATAGAGTTTGTGCAATACATCGTGAAATAGATGTCACAAAATTGCATTTAAATGCTGCATTAGTTACTTTGACGCAGTGCAAAACCGATAATGTACATCTTACTTGTGCATATGATATAAGAGGGAATTAATTGTAAAGTCGCTTATTAAAATGTCCATCATCTTTGGACTAGTAACCGGGAATGACATAGGGTACGGTCCGAATGGCGTACCACCCATTCCACCTGGACTAAATTCGCCATTCAGATCCACTGTGTAGTCGAAGTTGGTAGCATAAGTATTTAGAATCTGTATCGTCAAAAGAAGGTCGGCCAGTTTTCGCTAAAAATTGACAACCCATGTGTAAACGTTGCTGGTTACACAAGTGAAATAACTTCCTTAATGGCATTATTTCCAAGAGTCATGCCAAAAAATTAATTACGCAACTTCGTACAATTGTTTTTAAAAGTTTCGACTTTGTAAAAGAATGAAAACAGGCAATTGGACTTACAAGATCTACTGCGCCAAGTATAAGATCTTTTATAGCAGAAAGTCCATCGTTGCTGGGACATCCGGCACACGGATCCGGCTGAGCCACTGCTGGCAAGGCAAGTGCGGTGCCGCGAGCTCGTGGACCACCAGTACGCTTCACCTGAGCATCAACACTTGTCCGGAC